AAGACTAACCTGGACGTTGGCAATTCGGGAAAACGGCATCCTTGCTTGCAAAGTCAGATTTTGGTCGCCCAGTGTCTTTTTTTACTGCGCTTGGTCGTCCAGTATTTTTCGTTGATCTGCAGGATGTGGGTCTTTGTCTGGGTTTGGGGGAGGTTTTGCAGATTTTCATGGCGTTTGTCTGAGTTTATTCCGCGAATCTTGCTGTGCAGTTTTTTTGTCCGTGCCGCCCTTCTGTGCAGTGCAGTGTTTTGTTTGTGCCGTCGTCGGGAAAAGTGGTTTCGAGGTATGTTGGATGTCCTGGTCTTGCGTGTCTCGGCTTAGGGGGCCCTGAGGATGGGAGGCCCGCGGCATGCGCAGAGGAAGGGCCCTGACGACGCAAGGCGTTTGTGTACCTTTGGCCGCATCGCCACCCGCCGTGTAGTAGAGCAAGCGCCTCCTCCTCCTCCTCCTCCTCCTCCTCCTCCTCCTCCTCCTCCTCCTCCCCCTCCTCCTCCTCCTCCTCCTCCTCCTTACTCCTCCCCTAACTCCAACCCCACTCACCCCCCCTCTCCTCCTACTCCCCCCCCCCCTCCCCCAACCACCCCCCCCCCCCCCCCTGCTCCTCCTCCTCATCCTTCCTCCTCCTCATTCTCCACTCTCCTCTCCTCCTCCTCTCGCTCCCCCTCCTACCCTCATTCCTACTCTCCTAAACTCCAACTCCTCTCCTGCCTCCTTCCTCCTCCTACTCCTCCTCCTCCTCCTCCTCCTCCTCCTCCTCCTCCCTTTGCTCGAAGCATGGCAACCCAGCCACAGGCGCAAGGCCGCAACGCATTCGAAGTGGGACATGCGCCGCCCACTGGCGCTGCATGGTTGGCATGGTTGGGCTTGCAGCCACGCGCTCGCCATGCACCAGCGTCGTGATCGTCACAGTCATCGTTGAGGTCACGCCATCGTCATCATCGCTACCATCATCACCATCATCACCACCGTCATCATCATCGTCGTCGATGTCGCCGCCGCTGGCATCGTCTTCACCATCATGAATTCGCCCGGCTCGAGTCATATTCAGGATGAGCTTCCACGCGTCGTTGCGCCAGTCGTGTTTTGCCCAGACGTTTGGGTGGGGGGGGCGGGGTGTTTGCTCGAGGGTGGGCTTGGCGTTTGTCAGTTCCTCAATCCTTGGTGGTATCCAATAACATGCGATATAATGCGTTACGGAATAAATACATGCACTGCGTAGATTTCAACATATACAGGCTGCAACACACGTTGCACATCGAGGGTGCCAGAATCCACAGTTCGGGTCCACGCTGGCAAACATCTGTTAATCCGTGAGCCCCATGGGCTCTCGAAGTCTTCCCGATGTTTCATTTTTCATGCCGGATCGCTGGTCTTTTTCTGACTCCCCCGGGCCCTGAATTTTCCTTGATGCCGAAACGTACAAACAACATCCAGCCAGACGTTGAGGTTTGGGCTTGCCTGCCAGCCGCTCTCCATGCGCACAGGGACGGAAGGCTCTGGAGATCTCTGGGTGCCCCCCCGGGGCTCAAGCTTGTCAAGCGTTGACAACATTATTCGGAGGAGGAGGAGGAGGAGGAGGAGGAGGAGGAGGAGGAGGATGCGGAGGAGGAGGAGGAGGGAGGAGGGAGGAGGGGGGAGGAGAAGAGGGGAGGAGGAGGAGGAGGAGGATGCGGAGAGAGGAGGAGGAGGAGGAGGAGGGGGGAGCGAGGAGGAGGAGGAGGAGGAGGAGGAGGAGGAGGAGGAGGAGGAGGAGGAGGAGGAGGAGGGAGGAGGAGGAGGAGCGTCGATATTCGCAGGGCCCCTCCTCGGTCCTCGCTCCTCCCCGAGGGCCCGGAGCCCGAGCGAGGCCTGCGACCCTCGTTCCCCGCCTCCCCCCGGGGGCGACGCTGTTCGCGACGTCGACGCTCACGACGACGTTCTCGACGACGACGCTCGCGACGCCGACGACGCTCAACGGCGGCGACGCTCGCGGCGACGGCGACGACGACGACGACGACGACGGCGTTGACGACGAGTGCCGCGACGACGACGACAGCGACGGCGGCGACTACGAGCTGAACGGCGGCGAGACGAACGCCGACGACGTCGACCCTCGCCGCGCCGCGCGGCGGCCGCCCCCCCGCCTAAGCCCTCTTCGCCCTCGTCCTCGTCCTGCTTTCCCCCTCCCCGAGCCCTTCTCCTCCTCGTCGTCGTCGTCATCCGCTTCTTCTCCTTGTTTTCCTTCTTTCCCTCCTCCTCCTCTTCCTCCTCCTCCTCATTCCGCCCTACTCATTCCTCCTCTACTCCTCTCCTCCTCCTTCATCCTCCTCCTCCTCTCTTCCGTAACCCCGTAATTCCTCCCTCCTTCCTCCAACTCTCCACATACTCCTCCTCCGCCTCCTCCTCCTCCTCCTTCATCCTCCCCTCCTCCACTACTCATCCTCCTCATCCTCCTCCTCCTCCGCCTCCTCCTCTGATCCTCCTCATCCTCCTCCCCCCCTACTCCTCCTGCTCCTCCTCTCTCCTCCTCCTCATGCCATCTACTCTTCCTCGCTCCTCCAGTCCCCATCCTCCTCCTACCTCATCCTCCTCCTCCCCTCCTTCCTTGCCCTCCTCATCCTCCTCCTTCTCTCCTCCTCTTCAATTACCTCCTAATTCTCCTCCTCCTCTCCTCAGCCTCACTCCTCCTCCTCCTCCTCCTCCTCTCTCCCTCTCCCTCCTCCATCCCCCCTCCCCTCCTGCTCCTCCTTCCTCTCATATCATCTCCTTCCTTCCCCCTTCACCCCTAATCCTCCTCATTCCGCTCCTCCTCCCCACTCCACCTCTCATACTCCTCCTCCTCCTCCTCTCCTTCCATCCCTCCTTATGCCCCTCTCCCTCCTCCTCTTGCCTCACTCCTCTCCTCTCCGACCTCCTCCTCTTCCCTTCCTCTCTCCGCCTCCTGCTCCTCCTCCTCCTCCTCTCCATACTACCTACCTCCTCATCATCCTACTCATCTCCTACTCCTCCTCCTCTCATCCTCCTCCCCATCCTCCTCCTCCCCATCCCACCTCCCCCCTCCCCCTCCCCCTCCCCCCCCCCGAGGAGGACGGCACGGGCGGCCGCCTCGAGTTGGGCCCGGGAGGGCTCTCGCCGGAGGCGGCCCTGGCGCTGCGGCTCTGGGAGGCACCCCCGTGCGGCCGCGGCCTCGGGCTGACAGGGCTCGCTGGTCCAGGGGGAGGGGAGGAGCTTCGCTTCGGAGGAGAGCCAGACATTGTCGCGTCGAGAGACAGCCACGACGCAGGGTTCTTGGCCGTGTTCGGCCTCCAGGGGCCCCCACTGGGCCCCGGGACGGTGAACAAACGATTCGGGATGAAAAACGTCTGGGGGCCCTGTGCCGATCAAAATCAGGACGTCGCATGTCTGGGTGCCGATGCCGCTCCTCTCCCCTCGCCTTGGCCATTTTGGGGCCTACTGGGAGGCCCTCGTCGCCACGGCTGGATTCTCCCGACATTTTGGTGAGAGAGCACCCTGAAGAGGTCCCAGGAATGGCGGTGTGGGTATCTGTTTGTCCCCCCGGAGATGCCGACACGCAGCATCGGCAGATCTCACGCTTGTGTTTTGGCTGTTCTCAGGGGCAGCATGGGCATCTCTTCTGCTGGTGCTTTGATTTGGGGGGCGGATATTTTAGACTTAAGTGCAGCATCGGCGACTCTCTCACTCGTGCTTTGCTTCCGCATATTCTGAGAAGGGGGTTCGTGTTATTCATGTGATACCTCCGCCTGGCACTCTTTACTCTCTCCTCTTCATCCCCAGTTCTCAGTCACTTTCATAATCACTCACACTTAAAACTCTCTTATATTACTAGTTTTCGGCCAGGCCGCACAAATGCCAAACCCACACATTGTCAGACTTACTCACACTCAGACCACTCACGCTCAAATCCACTGCTGTCTCCACTCCTCTCTCCGGCCTCACGTCTCCTCTCCCTCCTCCCACCTGCCTGCTGCCTTGCTGCTTCCTGGCCGTGGCTGGGGTGCTGTGAAATGTGAAACGGTCGCCACTTTCAAGGGCTGCTGGGGCTCCAGCGGAGTGGCGTCATACGCGGATTCAGATTAGACTTCGCCATCACTGAGGGGCTGCGAACTGTGAAACCGTCGTCTCTATCGAGGGCTGCTGGGGTCCAGCGGAGTCACGTCATACGTGGATTCAGATTCGACTTGCTATCTTTGGGGGGCTGCGAACTGCGAAACTCCCGCCACTTTCAAGGGCTGCTGGGGGTCCATTGGGGTGACGTCATACGCGGATTCAGAGCCGACCTCGCCATCATTCGGGAGCTGCGAGCCTGTCGCCGCTGTCAAGGGCTGCTGGGGTGTCCAGCGGAGTGACAACATACGCGGATTAAGATTAGACTTCACCGTCCTTGAGGTGCTGCGCATTGTGAAGCTGTCTCCGCTTTTGAGGGCTGCTGGGAGTCCAGCGGAGTGGCGTCACACGCGGATTCAGATAAGACCTCACAATCCCTGGGGGGCTGCGGATTGTGACGCTGCCTCAGCAGCCCTTCCCGAGTAGCCAAACCCAGGGCGCCGAGCGCCTCAGGGGCGCCGGCGGAGGCGGCGCCAGTTTGTCGAGATCACCCCTGGCTGCTCGGGAATCCTGTTGGGGCCAGGCGTGGCTGCCTGGGGGGAGGAGGAGAAGGAGTAGGGAGGAGTAGAGAAATAGGAGGATAAGGAGGAGGAGAAGGAGGAGGAGGAGGAGGAAGAGGAGGAGGTGGAGGAGGCGGTGGAGGAGCAGGAGGAGGAGGAGGGGAGGAGGAGGAGGAGGAGGAGGAGGAGGAGGGAGAGGAGTGCGGAGGAGGAGAGGAGGAGGAGGAACGGAAGGAGGAGAGGAGGAGGAGGAGGAGGAGGAGGGAGGAGGGCGAGGAGGAGGAGTTTTAGGAGGAGGAGGAGGAGAGGGAAGAGTGAGGAGGAGGAGGAGGAGGAGGAGGAGGAGGAGGAGGTAGGAGGAGGAGGAGGAGGAGGAGGAGGAGGAGGAGGACCAGTGTAAACCCACGAGCCAACAACGATGTTGGAGTAGACCCTCCCTCCAAGCTCCCTCTTCATAGACCCCTACAAGGGTTCATGTCCACTGAGGGAACTGCCTCGTTGGAAAACACTCGTTTGAAGACCTGGAAGCATGCCAGAACATTGTCCTCGGGATTCCAACGCCACGGATCAACCTGACTTGTGTCGTGACGATCCTGAATCGTGCCAGAACGCCATTTCTGCGACTTCAGCACCGCGAATCAATATACCTTGTTGCGCCCTCATAATCATGAATCCATCCGAAACACCATTTCTGGTACGTTGATCATTGGAATTCGCGGAATTCTTGTAAATTTTTGAAACCGATGCGCGCGGCGCTACGGCGAGAGCCACATTTTTTAAATGAACCGCCTTCAATCCGTGCATTTCTTGCAAATGTTTACAACCAGTATGCGCGGCGCTAAGACGAGAACCACATTTTGAAAACGACCCGCCCTCAATCCGTGAAGCTCTTGCCAATGCTTACAACACGTGCGCGCGGCGCTAAAGCGAGAGCCACATGTTCAAAAGGAACCGGCCTCAATCCGTGGAGCTTTTGCAAGTGTTTAGAACGAATGTGCGGGGCGCAAAGAGGATAATCACATTTTGAAATCCACCCGCCTTCAATATGTGAAGTTCCTGCGAATTCTTAAAACGAATGTGCGCGGCGCTACGGCGAGAGCCACATTTAGAAAACCACCCGCCTTCAATCCGCGAAACACTTCCAATTTTGTTGAAAGAATGTGCGCGGCGCTGAGGCGAGAGCCACATATTGAAACCGACCCGCCCTCCATCCGTGACGCTGTTGCAAATTCTTAAGCTTCAGGGTGATAGATAGTGCGGAAATCTCAGGCGAAACGCCCGGCCCGCCCTAAAACTGGCCTCGGGGTGTGACAGGGAGGAGTTATTTATAAGGAGAAGGTATGGAGGAGGATGAGGAGGAGGAGGAGGCGGGAGAAGGAGGAGGAGGAGGAAGGAGGTGGAGGAGGAGGAGGCGTAGGAGGAGGAGGAGGAGGAGAAGGGGAAGGAGGGGAGGAAGGAGGATGATGATGAGGAGGAGGAGGAGGAGGAATATGTGGATGAGGAAGGAGAGGAACAGGGAGGGACGAGAAGGAGGAGAAAGACGGCAGGAGGTGGAGGAGGAGGAGGCGGAATAGCAGGGAGGCGTTGTAGAAGGAGGAGGAGGAGGAGGAAGAGGAGGAGAGGAGGAGGAGAGGAAGAGGAGGAGGAGGAGGAGGAGGCGCAGGAGGAGGAGGAGGAGGGGAGTGTGGAGGAGGGCGGAGGGATGAGGGAGGAAGAGGAGTGGTGGGGAGGAGGTAGAGGGGAGGAGGGAGGAGGGATGAGGAGGAGGAGGACGTGGAGGGAGGGAGGCAGGAGGACGGAACGGATGCCTATGCGCAGCCCGAGGCCCTCCATTGGTCTGGGGGGCCGGGGGCCAAAGAGCGCTCCTTGCCGAGAGCTCCCGCTCCCCCGGGGGGGCTCGCAGGCGGAGGCCAGGCGATGCCCACGGACCGCAGCGGCCGCCGAGGAGCGCGCGCCCCGCCGCCCGCCCCCCGGGGCGCAGCATTTTCTCCCAACCATCCGGTGGTGCTGGGACCTCGTTTTGAAGAGACAGTGCCCTTCCTCCTCCACCTCCTCCTCCGCCTCCTCCTCCTCCCTTCTCCTCTACTCTCCTCCTCCTCCTCTCATCGTCCCCCCCCCTTCCTCCCTCCTCCTACTCCTCCTCCTCCTCCCCCTCCTCACACCTCATCCTCCTCCTCCTCCTCCTTCTTCCCCCCTTTCCCCAATGTCGTCGGCTCCGCCTACGTCGACCTGGACTTCAACGAGAGCCTAAGTGTCTCGGCGCCGCCGCGCCCGCAGCGTCCGTAGGCGAGATCGAGCCGCCTTCAGGGACGCTGGCTCCTCCCCTTCCGCCCTTCTCGCATCCTTGCTTCTGCCCTCCGCACGGCAGACATGTCGACACTATTTCGGCACACTCCTCACACGCTTCGTGGCTCCACAAGGAGCTCCACTGAAGGTCCCAGCAGCCCAGTCCCCATGCGGCCCTGCCGCCCGCGCTCCCAGGCGCAGCATTTTTTTATGGTCCTCGAATTCCGCCTGTAAGGTGCGTTATCGCGTCGATGGGCGTCTGGTAGGCGATGAGATTGCTCCGGCTTGGAGTCGACTAGCGTCGACTAGCATCGATGTAGCGTCGATTCGCGCCGATTCGCGTCGACTCCCGTCGATTAGCTTGGATTCGCAAGAGCCGACGATATTGTATTGGATGCTCCCATGAGTTGCCGCAGAACCAGGCGCAGTATTTACCTAACAGCGAAGACTGATAGGTTTCTAGTAGTGTCAAAAGAAAGCATCATGACTCCCCAGGGGGGTCTGGGCGGGATCCGGACGGGATCCGGGGGAATCCGGGGACTTTTTTTTTAGCCAACAGTCACGCACTTCGTGGTCTTCCAGTTCCCAGAACTCCATTCTTGGGCATGATTTTGAATGCCCGGAGCCAACTGTAGGTCACTTCGTGTTCTTCGAGTTCCCATAACTCCATTCCTGGGCATGATTTTGAATGCCCGGAGCCAACTGTAGGTCACTTCGTGGTCTTCGAGATCCCAGAACTCCATTCCTGGGCATGCTTTTGAATGCCCGGAGCCAACTGTAGGTCACTTCGTGGTCTTCGAGTTCCCAGAATTTCATTCCTGGGCATGCTTTTGAATGCCCGGAGCCAACTGTAGGCCACTTCGTGTTCTTCGAGTTCCCAGAACTCCATTCCCGGGCCACATTTTGAATGCTGAGGCAGGCTGAGGCTGAGGCTGAGGCTGAGGCAGGCTGAGGCTGAGGCCGAGGCTGAAGGCAGACTGAGGCTGAGGCTGAAGCAGGCTGAGGCTGAGGCTGAGGCAGGCTGAGGCTGAGGCTGCAGGCTGAGGCTGAGGCTGAGGCTGAGGCTGAGGCTGAGGCTGAGGCTGAGGCTGAGGCAGATGATGCTGAGGCAGGCTGAGGCTGAGGCTGAGGCTGGCTGAGGCTGAGGCTAGGCTGCAGGCTGATGCTGAGGCAGGCTGAGGCTGAGATGCAGGCTGAGGCTGAGGCAGGCTGAGGCTGAGGCGAGGCTGAAGGCAGACTGAGGCTGAGGCTGAGGCTGAGGCTGAGGCAGGCTGAGGCTGAGGCTGAGGCAGGCTGATGCTGAGGCTGAGGCTGAGAGGCTGAGGCTGAGGCTGAGGCAGGCTGAGGCTGAGGCGAGGCTGAGGCAGGCTGAGGCTGAGGCTGAAGGCAGACTGAGGCTGAGGCTGAGGCAGGCTGAGGCTGAGGCTGAGGCAGGCTGAGGCTGAGGCGCTGAGGCTGAGGCTGAGGCTGATGCAGGCTGAGGCTGAGGCAGGCTGAGGCTGAGGCCGAGGCTGAAGGCAGACTGAGGCTGAGGCTGAAGCAGGCTGAGGCTGAGGCTGAGGCAGGCTGAGGCTGAGGCTGAGGCAGGCTGAGGCTGAGGCTGAGGCTGATGCAGGCTGAGGGAGCGGCGCCTCATTAAGGCGCCTCGCTTTTGCCTGCCGCCTGGCCGCCCTAGCCGCGATCCTAAGTGGCGAAGGCCGCCGCGCGGGTTCTTCACCTGGCCGGGGCAATCAGGAGGTGGTGGGGTGAGCGCGTCAGGGGCTGGTCTGACGAAGAGATGCGTGAATTTGAACACCCATTAGGCAACGTCGCCACCAGCAAAAGTTGAGCCTATTCCAAGGATTCATGCGACTCCACGGCCACGTTTACTTCGCGTGGCCCCCAGACTTGCCTTGATGGCACACCAGGGCGGCGCAGCGCGCTCGCAGACCACCGCGGGGAGGAGCTGGATATCCAGGCGTGCTTCCCCGATGACCGAGAAGGTTGCCACGGCCCTCGGGCCTGGTGTGCGTCTAGGAAACCGGCGACATGAGCCAGGCTTGGGTTCACCGACATCCTCTCAGCCGTGGTATCCGCCTGGGGGAGCAAATCACCTGGCAGGGCAAAATACCTTCGGATGGCTATCACATGTGGGCCACTAACCCGTCATGGGCGGTCAACCCCTACTCGTGATGGCCGTGCGGAGAGACGACGATCAATCATGATCAGAGGCGGGCTGCGCCGATCCTCGAACAATCCAGCTTCACCTATTGGAAGGCACCGGGCAGGTTAAACGGGTTTGACGAGCCGTCCGCCAGCAAGACACCCAGAACGGATCGCGACCGAGTTATTGGAGCGTGGCGTGACAGCGACGAACAATCTATAACGCTCGGAATGACGACCGATTCGCGAGGACAATCGCGAGGCTGCGCATGATGACCAGGGACGAGTGCGCGCGGGTCTACGCGGCCAAGGGTCAAGGGAAGGGTGATGGGCCCAGGTCGTCGTCCGTCAGGGCAATGAGGACTGAGTGACAACTATGCGTCGAACATTTCTCTACCCTTTCTCTTGCTAAGGTCTGACGCGTGTTGTACCAGGAATGTTTCAAGTAGGTGTTTATGACGGCGCCCGTGTCGCAAACAATATTGATATGACTAATAATGATAGAGCGGAGATTCCGCCATATTTCTAGCCACCTTGTGTGCCGCTCTGTCGGTCACGTCGTGCATGTTGAATTTACCACCTGCTCAGCGCCTGCTGTACATGAATTGATTTCGAAAGTAGCCATTTGCTGCTACAGTTTGCCGCCGAGCCGAATTATAGGAAGTTTCCCGTAGTTTGCCCGACCTGGGAGACCACGTCGAACGGGGGTTTTTCGATGTCGGACTCCATGTTACTATGCAAATCTTGGTTTTTGGCTGAAGTTTGTGACCGCCAACTGGCGGTGTGACACAGTTGTGTACTTCAGCGTTTGTCCGCTCATCGTAAAACGCAGTTCCATCTTCATTACCGCTGTTCTATTGAACTTGCAGGAAGAGCAGCAGGAAGAGGAGCAGGAGGAGGAGGAGGGCGGGAGGAGGAGGAGGAGGAGGAGGAGGAGGAGGAGGAGAGGAGGAGGAGGAGGAGGAGGAGGAGGAGGAGGAGGAGGAGGAGGAGGAGGAGGGAGGAGGAGAGGAGGAGGAGCAGAAGGAGGAGGCGGATGAGGAGGAGACGAGCAGGAGGAGCAGGAGGCGCACCTATTCCGCGGGGCCTACCTGGCCGCGCCCCGCCCCGGGAGGACCTGCTCGACCACGGCGGGGCGGACTCCGCCGCGCGGCTGGAGCGCGCGGTCACGGCCGACGCCCAAGCGGCTGCGTGCGCCCGCCTGGGATCATCATCATCATCATCATCATCATCATCATCATCATCATCATCATCATCATCATCATCAGCATCATCATCATCATCATCATCATCATCATCATCATCATCATCATCAGCGTCATCACTACTATCATCATCTTCAACATCATCATCATCATCATCATCATCATCATCATCATCGTTATCATCATCACCACCATCACCAGCATTGTCACCATCATCGTCATCGTCATCGTCACCCTCACCACCACCCTCACCATCAACATCATCATCAGTATCGTCATCCTCAGCATCGCCACCATCAGAATCATCCATACTCGTCGTCACCATCATCACCACCATCATCAACACCACCACCACCGCCATCACCATCACCATCTTCATTCCCATCATCATCATCACCAGCGTCATCACCCTCATCATCATAATTATCATCGTCGTTACCATCATCACCACCATCATCATTGTCACCATCATCGTCATCGTCAGCATTACCCTCACCACCACCCTCACCATCAACATCATCATCATCATCACAATCGTCATCCTCAGCATCGCCACCATCAGAGTCATCCGTAATCGTCGTCATCATCACCACCATTATCGTCACCACCACCGCCATCTCCATCGCCATTCCCATCATCATCATCATCATCATCATCATCATCATCATCATCATCATCACCATCATCATCACCACAATCATCATCATCAGCAGCAGCATCATCATCATCATCATCATCATAATCATAATCATCATCACCATCATCATAATCACCATCACCATCACCATCATCATCATCATCATCATCATCATCATAACCATCATCATCATCATCATCGTCATCATCATCATCATCTTCATCTTCATCGTCACCTCCATCTTCATCTTCATCTTCATCTTCATCTTCATCTTCATCTTCATCTTCATCTTCATCTTAATCTTCATCGTCATCTTCATCTTCATCTTCATCATCTTCATCTTCATCTTCATCTTCATCTTCATCTTCATCTTCATCTTCATCTTCATCTTCACCATCATCATCATCATCATCATCATCATCATCATCATCATCATCATCATCATCATCATCATCATCATCATCCTCACCATCATTATCATCATCATTATCATCATCATCAGTTTATTCTGGCGCTGCACGGCACAGCTACGACGCCGCGCCTGCCCTTCCCCCCCCCCCCCCGTTGCTAGCCCAGCTCCTCCTCCTCGCCCCCCGCAGCCAACCCATCTCCTCCTCGTCCCCTCGCCACTGCCCCCCCGCCTGCCCCGACCACTTCATTCCGACGTTGCGCAGCACGGCGCCGGCACCGCGCCACCCCTTCCCCTACCCGGCAGCCAACCCGGCTGCTACTCCGCGCCCCCCTCCGCCCCGACTACTTAATCCGGGCGTGTTTTGCACGGCACTGGCACTGCGCCCCCCTTGCCCCTGCCTCGCAGCCAGCCCAGCTCCTCATCCTCCTCTTCGCTCCCCGCAGCTGGCCCATTTCCGCCCAGCTCCCCAGCCAGCGCGCCCCCTCCGCCCCGACCACTTTATTCCTGCACGGCGCGGCGCGGCGCCGGCGCCGCGCCCCCCCCCTCCTCCTCCACTGCTTTTCCTTTTGAGCAATTCGTCACCCCAACATACTTATACTACGTATATGTGCGTCGTCCCCCCCCAGGGGCGGCGCGCGCACCGAGAAATCTTATAGTATACGCGTCGTGGAGGGCGCTTTCTGGCCACCCCGCTCGGGAACGATATACTACAAGATGGGTCTGCTATATGTTCGGGTCGGACGCGTGCCTCCAAGGCGGACATATAGTACTAGTATGTTTTTGTGCGTCCCATTTTTCCTTGTGGCACCCCGAGGCCAGTCGGAAGGGTGGACTGGGAGTTTCGCATGAGAATTCCTCATTTATGCGCCTGAAGTTGAGAAGATGGCAATTATTTAGCAGTTGGAGGGCGGGTCGTTCTCAAATGCGGCTCTCGCCTTAGCGCCGCCGCGCATTTGTTTGAACAGTTTGCAAGAGCTTCGCTGATAGAGGGCAGGTGGTTTTCAAAGTGTGGCTCTCGTCTTAGCGCCGCGCACACTAGCTTGAAACAGGTGGAAGAGTTTCTCGGATTGAGGGCGGTTCGTTTCTAGAATGTGTCTCTCGCCATAGCGACGCGCACATTTGTTTAAAAATGGCAAGGGTTTCACAGATTGAGGACTGGCTCCCTTCAAAATGTCGCTCTCGCCTTATGGCCGCGCACATTCGTTTCAAAACATTGCAAGTTTTCCAGATAGGTTTTCATGATGAGCGTATAAGAAGTGTGTTTTGGAACGGTTCAGGGTTGCGAGGGCGCAGCAGTTACTTTGATTCGTGGTGTTGGGGTCTAAGGAGTCGTGTTCCGGCGCGATTCAGGATCGTCAAGACGCCATAGTCAGGTTCACTCGTGGCGTTGAATTCCTGGAAAAAGATGTTTTGGCACGGTTCATGATTTTTGCACACGGTTGTCTCCCAGCGGGGCACTTCTTTCAGTGGAAATGAATCCTTGTAGGGGCCTGTGGAGAGGGAGCTTGGAGGGAGGGTGTATTCCAACATCGTTGCTGAGTCTTGAGTTTACAGTGGTCCTCGTCCTCTTTCTCCTCCTCCTCCTCCTCCTCCTCCTCCTCATCGCTCCCCGCAGCCAGCCCGGCTTCTCCGCGCCCCCCAGCCAGCGTGCTCCCCCCGCCCCGATTGCTTCATTCCGACACGGCATGGCGCGGGACCGGCACCGCGCCACCTGTTCCCCCGCCCCCCGCAGCCGCTCCTGCTCCTCCTCGCTCCCCGCAGGAAGCCCAGCCTTTCCTCGCCCACCCAGCCAGCGCGCCACCTCCGCCCCGACCAGTTCATTCCGGCACGGCATGGCGCCGACAACGCCCCCCTTCCTTTTTCGTCCCCCCGCAGGCAGCCCATGTTCTCCTCCTCGCCGCCCGCAGCCAGCCCATCTCCTCTTAGCCCCCCGGCCACTGCGCCCCCTCCGCCCCGACCGTTTTGTGCAAGTGCGGTAGGGCACGGGCACCGACACCGCGCCCCCCGTTCCCCCGCCCCGCGGACAGCCCAGTTCCTCCTGCTCGCCCCCCGCAGCCAGCCCAGCCCCCCCTCGCTTCCAAACCAGCGCACCCGTCCCGCTCCGACTGTCTCATTCCGGTACAGCACGGACTGCTTCATTCTGGTACAGAATGCGCGGGCGGTTGCGCGCGAGCCACATTTGGAAAACGGCCCGACCTCCATCCGTGAAGCTCCGTGGCGATGTTTGAGGACGAACGTGCGCAGTGCCAAAGCGAGAGTCACATCCTGGAGACGACCCGCCCTCCACCGTTCACGCTCTTGCAGACGTTTAAGACGAATGTGCGGGCGGCTATACGCGAGAGCCACCTTTTGAGAATGGCCCGCACTCCGTCCGTGAAGCTGTTGCAAATGTTAAGCATCAGGGTCATACGTGGTAAGAGCTCTAACGCGAAGCGCCCGGCCCGCCATCCCGACACGTTCCGGGGTGCGACAGGGATGAGTTATGTATGAGGAATCGGGAGCGGAAAAGAGGGGGGTGATGACTAGGGGGGGGTGGATTTCATGGCGCGGGCCATGATTTTTCCCCAGATTTCATGGCGCCTCTTCTTGTTTCATTACGTCCCGGGCTCCCCCGCTGGGCCGCGCACATGCCGCCGGTCATGATTTGCACCCCCCCCTCTTGGACGCCCCCCTCTTTGCCGCTCCCGAAGGAAGAGGGGTGGAGGAGGAGGGGTGGAAGGGTGGAAGGAGGACGGAAGGATGGACGGGCTGGGATTGGAGCGCGGAACAAGCAGAGGCAAACGCTTCCCCCCTCGAGCCTCCAGCCTTTTTTGCTTCTAAGGCCGTGGCGTTTGCCCTGGTGGCCAGCGGCAGTGCAGCTACTCGGCAGGAGGCCCTGCGCTGCCCTTGCCACGAAAGAGATTCCATGTCGATTCAATCGATCCGATTTGATATGGTTCTCCTTGCTCTCTCTCCAGCTCTTGGTTCTCCTCCGTCTCCCGTTCCACATCCTTCTCCTTCCTCTCCTCTTCCCTCCTCCCTGCTGCGTCATTATCCCTCCCTCCTCTTCCTCGTCTCTCCTTCACGCCATCTTCTCTCCGCCTCCCTCATGCGTTTCCGCCTCCCCCCGCTCATCCCCAACTCTCCTTTACTTCTTCCTCCCTCCACCGCCCTCACCCAGCATCCTGCCCCACTGAGTGGTAGGAGGCCCAGCTTCACAAGAAAGGGGAATCCCTCAAATCCTTTCTTTCTAAGGCCGACCCCATGCGACATCCCGAGCCCAGACGCCAATGGCCCTGGGGAGGCCCCCGAGGCGCGCCCAACAAGTCCCAAGAGACCACCAGCAGAGCCCCACCGAAAACCGAAGAGACCCCATCCTCGGAAACCTCGAAGAGCCCTCCGAGAATGTGCCCCAGTGGCCTCCCGAGAGACTCAGCACTGTTCTCCCAGGCTGTTCGGAGCTCCTCGGGCGTCCCCGCCACAGGCTGCCCCGGGTCCTCCGCGCGGCAGCCTTGCGCGCCTTCCTGGAGCCTCCCAGGGCGCTCTCGAGAAACAGCGGGAGGGAAGCGCCCTGCACGCACACCTAAGGCGCCGAGTCGTGCTGGACGTCGCCTTCATTAGAAGAATGAGCCGCGCCATCATTCTGGTACCGTATGTCGTGCAACATCTCAACGCTTCCCAGCAAGGCACAGTACGACCTAAGGGATCGCGCCTTCCTGGAGCCTCCCTGGGCGCTTTCCAGAAAACAGATGGGGGGAATCGCCCTGCACGCATACCTATGGCGCGAAGTCGTGCTGGACGTCGCCTCCGTTAGAAGAGTGAGCCGCGCCATCATTCTGGTACCGTATGTCGTGCAACATCTCGGCGCTTCCCAGCAAGGCACCGTACGACCTGAGTGATTCCCAAGGCCGCGCCAGATACGGCTTCGACTGACCTTGGCATCCTATAGATGGTTTGAGTTGCCCCATGTCATTGGCCCCCAGGGTTTCCAGTGGACCTCCCAAGCACCTTCGAGAGAGTCCAAGGGACCTTCCAGACGCCCGGAAGTGCTTCAGGCCCGCGAGAGACGGTCCCCAGGCCACCAGCCTCCCGAAGCCTCCCCAAGGTTACCTTCGGGCAGCTGCTCGGTGTACACCTTAGGCGATGCTTAAGAAAACCTAAGTTTTCGTCCAGAGTCTCGATTATTCTTACTTTTTCAATGTAAATCCCAAGATTTTGATAGAAGTTCTGGGTTACATTCAATTTCTGAGACTACGAATTTCTTAACCCATGATTTCTTAAGCATTTCGCAGGGTGTATCTGTTCAGAGCAGCATGATCTCTTTGGGCCCGAGTATTCAACGTCCAAGGAGCACGCTCCGCGGCATGATGTCCATCCTCATCCAGTCCGGTAAGGCGAGTTGGACTGCGCTAGAACCCAAGCGCGCGCGAAGCGCGCGCGGGTGGTTCTAATATACATTCTGAGTATTTTGTGTGTTCCTCTCCCCCGCCGCCCTCCATTTATCACTCTTCCTTCTCCCTCTCTCTATCTACCTATTCTCCCCTTCGGGGCAACAGCTCTTGTCACAGATATCCCTCTGCCCAGCGTCCCTAGTTACGAGGGGATACAGCGTGCAGGGCGTCCTCCGAGTCGTGCATTTTCGTGTCCTGAGACCAGGGGGCTCTCACCCTCTCACCGGGGACCAGCTTTTCCGTCCGGGGTATTATCTTCATAGTCCCCGGGCCCGAAGAAGGGTTGCGGGAAACCGCCGCGTTTGAAACATCGCGACGTCGGCGGTCTTCGTAGCCTTCTTCGCAAGGTGCAGCTCGAGGGCACCCGCGCCCGGAGCGGCGGGGCGGCTGCCGCTGCGGAGTCGCTGTTCCTGTGGCTGGGCCGCGTCCGCGTGAACGCGGTGGCCGTGCGCACCCTGAAGGAGCTCCTGTGGGAACCCAGACTTCCAGGGTCCATTTCGAGCTGATCGGTCCGACTCGAAGTGGTTCCAGCCACCCCGATCCGATTCGATTCCGACATTTCTGGCGATCTGATGCGACCCGATGTCTGCATGGCGCCGTCGTGCATTCTGGCGCAGCCGATCCGATTCGATTGCGACTCCGTGCCGATGCGGCCCGATCCGACGCTCATTACGGTTCGATCAGATTTCCCGGTTCGATGTTGACAGATCTCAGCGTGCTGGCGACTCGAGGATCGCGCTGGAGGTGTGAAGCCTGTGCAGATGGCGCTGGGCCGTCCCGTCCTCGACTTCCTCTCCACAGGGGGTCCTGTCATAAAGACAGGGTGCCACCGTGGACCCCAGACAGGGACGGCCTAAGTGCAAGCGCTGCTCGGGAAAAGCAGGAGCAGCGTCGTCGTCGGCGCCGTCGTCGTCGTCGTCGTCGTCGTCGTCGTCGTCGTCGTCGTCGTCGTCGTCGTCTTCGTCTTCGTTATGCCTGCCTCCTTTCCTCCCTTGTTTTTTGCGGGAGGGCTCCAGGGAGCGGGGCGCCGCAGGGCGCGAAGGAGAGTGCGAGCGACGGGGACGCAGGTGTCGGCGCCGGGAGGCCGCTTCAAGGCGCGCCGGGGCCAGCAGAGCATGGGCCTGGACGAAGCATTGGCTCCAGGGAAGGGGTCCAGGGGGTCGGGTGGCCCACGACTTGAGCAAAGGTAAGCGTCGGAGGTCTCGGGGTGGGGTGCCCAAGGACGGACTGCT